TGGGGGGAAAATTGGTGAACGGCCCCAAAAAATTGGGGGCCCCCCTTTTTTTCCCTTCCCCAAAAAAATTGGCCTTTGGTCCCCCCCCCGGGGGGGTTTGGGACAAAAAAAAAAAAAAAAAAAACCGGGGCCCCCCCCCCCCCCCCCCCCCACAGGGAATGACACAACAACCAAAACTACTACTTTTAGACCGCAGTCTACACTATAAAATCGTGCTGTGTGTCAAGAACCGCCGCCATGACTTACGCAGGAGTAAAGACAGCCGCTACATCAAACCCACACGAGGTTTTGCTTTTTTGCGACAACGACGGGCGCGCACGCAGACGCGGATACAGTCTACATCTGGGCCAACCGCAGCGGGGGCACCAAGCATGACAGACAGAAAGAGAGAGAGAGAGAGAGAGAAATAAATAATCGGCTGTGGCGGGCATCTGCTGCACGGCGCACTCAAAGCCAACCCGATCACCGGACCTTGATGGCCGCGCTGAGAACCTTGTCGTCGGCTATCTTGAAGTTCCCTACCACCTTACGGCCGTCCTTCACCAGCAGCCTTTGGCCCGTCTCGTCCAACATGACCGTGCATTTCGGGCAGTTCTGCGTTGGCAAAGTTTTTTATTCGCGGGTGGTATGTAGACAGCGCGACGGGGGTGAAGGGACGCCGAGCGGTTTAATCTGCCTGCTACAGTAGCTTTTTGTCTGCGCGAAGTATGTGACAAGCGCACGACCAGGCCGAGGGGAACTATACACCCCGGGTGGTGCTGGCGGGTCCTGGCACCACAATTTCAACAAGATGAGAAGTTACTTCGACGAAGGCCCACGGCACGAAGGGAGTAATAGGCCGTATAGGTCGACTCACGGCAACGCCTACACACATTTCGTGACCTCATTCGTGGACAGCAACAAAAGCAGGTACCCCCATCCGCGCCCCTTGCATCTTGAATGCGCCTCACTACGAGACACAACCGGTGTGTCGCGACCCTCCGCGCCCTTGGTTCCAACCGACGACGGTAAAAAGCAAAACAAGACACCAACGCGCCCCTCGTTCTTGCCCGGGTTGCCACTAACGATCCGAGAAGGTCGCATCGAGCCAGTTCTCTTGAACTGAATCGGTTGAAAATATGCGGTGCATCGCTACATGCTCGACGCAGCAGCACGCGCCCCGAACGACCACAATAGACATGCTTCGTGCTAAACGCACCCCGACGTGAATTGCCAAGCGAATTGCGTTTGATACGCACGCCTGGCTCATGCCCGAAAAATCGCTCTCACCTTCTTAGAGTCAGGCCTGCCGCTTTCCCAAACCGGGGGCGCCGGCGTGGGATCCCCTGGCTTGCCCTTCCGCAGGACAAGGTTCCCGTCCTCTGAAACAAGCGAGCAACAGGCCGGCACAAATTGCGCACGGCAGCACGAAACGAGTTGACAACAACAATTTAAGCGTGTCGCACAACATCACACGGCAACAGTGCAACACATCTACAACGCACAAAAGGGGGGTGGAACACATAAAAGACTACTACTACATATTGAAGTCGCCCAGTCCTCCACTGGCCAAAACCAGAGGAACTCCCCACCCCCGTGCACCCCCCGTTCCGGCTAACAGTGCACCTTTACGCCTCAATCCAGCGATGCAACACAAGCCGGGAGGGGTGTGTGTTGTGTGTGGGGAATACCCATGTTTTCTTGCCGTGGCCCTTGGTCCCACCGTTGACCACGCACGTCTCACGAGACAAGAGCGCTGTTGCTACTGTGAATCCCGAACTCACTCTGAACCATCATATAGTGAGTGTCGGATCGCGTGAAGGCGTTGTTCGCGATGGGCGCGCCCGGGCGAAGCGAGATGGGTTCCCCCGAGAACCCCCCCTGCAGCGAGAACCTGTACAGGACGCTGAGTAACAGCAGCACCACGTAGACCAGCCACGCCTTCTCCTGGAGATTGATCGTCGCAGCAGCAGCAGCAGCAGCAGCCGTGAAGCCGCAGCGAGAGAGCAATATTGCACAAACACGACGCGTTGGCGTCGAGACGACAAAAGACGTACGAAAACAAGTGGGGGAGGGATTGCGGTTGGGAGGTGTGGTGGGGGGGGGGGTATACTCGATTCTTGCTTGCCTTGGTCACTGCATGACGAGAGAAGGGAGGGGCGGGGTGGGTGACTTTGACGAGCAATCAAGACTTGAGCGCGATGTTTCTTCCCACACTCCATCCGAATCAACAGGGGTGAAGCTGGCTAATCGCCTGAAACGCAAAATTGAGGTCACATGCGCATGCTACTTTTCTATGGCTGTACACATATATAGTATACAG